ATAAATCTTCTAAAAATTATTTTTTAAAAAGGATATGAAGAACGGAACAAGAAATCCTAACATATCTAATCATTACTTCAGATGCAGAAAATTAAGGAAGATAAATATCCCAAACCATAATGGTTGTCTTTTCTTAAAGTCAAAGTTTCAATCCTTACATTCCAGGAGCCCAGTAAGTCATACCAGTGTTGAAAGCAAGGAAACGCAAGTTTTATTTGGCAATAAGTAAAATTTAATGGCAACATAATTTGCAACATTTGGCTTGGGTACCAATGTATCATAAAAGACAAAATGAGGTTTTAAACTTCTTTGAAGTCATCAAAGAGGGGTAGAAATGAGGCATTTGTACTCAAGAACATGCCCAAACGGGTGCTGGAGCAGCCCTCCCAGGACCATGTCTGGGTTCACCACAGGCCTGGCCTCAAGCACTAAAACCTGCATTTTATGGCCTAATATTTGGGATTATCTAACTGGACATTTTTTAACTTTTTTAAATTTAAATTTTGATAATGATTACATAGTGAGAAGGATGGACGCCCATTTGCAACACTGATTAGGGTTGAAAGGGTCAAGGAATGGCGAAGGTGAATGAGACCACTGTCTTTTTCTCTTCCTCCTCCTTCTTCTCCATCATCCTGTGTCTGGGGGAAGAGGGAATGGAGGGGAGAAGCTGCACCCAGCATCACAACCACATCAAAACCCAGGGGTAGGGGACAGCCACCTGATATCATCCCAGAATCACCAATATAGAACATGCTCCAAGGGTTCTACTCAAGTGGTTTAGGTAGTTCCAAAATGCTGTTAATCACATTGCTCCAAGGATGAAGAAATCCTTCCAAGGACCAGTGACTGACATTGTCCACCTCAGAGTCTCTATTCACCCAGATATTTGCTGTCAAAACTAGGCTGGGGAGAGTTGTCCAATTTGTTTGGTCTCCATCCTCTGCTATGGTATTAGATGTCCTCTGCAGGTCCCAGTGAACTGCTCTATCTCCCATGTGTATCTAGGTATGCCATCCACTACACCATCTTCAGTAACTGAGGAGGCCCAATTCAAGCTTTTTTTTTTAATTAAGGCAGTGCTCTGTCCCTGGTATGGACCAAGTGTGGCTGTGCTGTAGCACCCAATAGTAAGAACCAGAATAAGTGCAAGCCAGTCAGGAAAGGCCACTGTTTCTGTTAGAATAGGAGATGAACTAAGTCAGGCTGGGATATGAACCTACCAGTATGCACAAAATCTGACATTAGAAGATATTCTGATGGAGGAGCTTGGGCATTCCTCTGTCGGGACATAGTCCCTCCAAAATCAAGGTCCTGACCGTCATCATCACTGCCAAATTTCCTTTGTACTTCCCTGCTATTATATGTCTGAATCCCTGGTCCTAGGAAATTACTAATCTGCTTTATATTTTTTTAAGATTGCTTTGTTTTTATTGGAATTGGGAATTTACGGAGAAAACAGAGATGCAGAAAGATCTTTCTTGCATCCACTGGTTCACTCCCCAATGGCCTCAACAGTTAAGTTGATCTGAAGCTAGGAGTCCCTTTCAGTTCTCCCACATGAATGCAGAGGCTCAAGGACTTTAACCATCTTTCTTTTTCATTGCTTTGTCAGGCCACAAACAAGGAGCTGGATGGAAAGTGGAGCAGCCGGAACACAAACTGTCACACATATAGAACCCCAGTGCAAGTAAGGCAGGGATTTAGCCATTGATCCATCACACACACACACACACACACACACACACCTCCCCCATTCCCCCAGATCTTTCTCTCTGTATCTCCTTCTCTCTGTATATCTGCCTTTCCAAGAAAAATGTCTGGAGCTGGCACAGTGGCATATCAGTGGCAAATCCTCACGTGTCTGTGGCACCAATGTCCCATTTACATATCAGTAACAGTCCTTTCTGCTCCCAGGCTAATGGCCTGGGAAAGCAACAGAGACCTTGGGCCCCTACACTTACATGAGTGGCCAGGAGGAAGCTCCTGGCTCCCAGGTTTAGATGTGCTCAGCTCTGGTTGCTGCAGCCATTTGGAGAGTGAATCTGTTAATGGAAGAGCTCTCTGTATCTCTCTGTCTCCGGCACTAATCTTGCTCTCTGTTACTCTATCTTCCAAATAAAATGAACAAGTCTTTTTAAAAATGTCTAAAATATGACCCAAAGCCTTGGGACCCTGCACCTGTGTGGGAGACCCAGAAGAAGCTCCTGGCTCCTGGCTTAGGATCAGCTCAGCTCCAGTCATTGAAGCTACTTGGGGAGTGAACCAGCAGATGGAAGATATTTCTGTCTCTCCCTCACGTTGTAAATCTGACTTTCCAACAAAAATAAATATATCTTTTTAAAAATGTCTAAAATAGTACTTCTCCAAAAATATTGCTTAACAGATATGGGTTATGTTTAGTTACATAGGTTAAAAAGATTAACTGGATATACTTACCTTTTTTCTCTACAATGAAGAGAGATTTTCATGTGCTCTGAGAGATGTGCTTCAGCTAATGGACCCGGAAAATACTGTATAGCTCAACCAGAAGCAAATTGACAGAATTACATTGTTTTTATACTCTTAATTAGTTTGCACTTAACTTCAGTACTCATTTGTTATTAAAGGTACCATAATGGATATAAGTTAAAATTTACACATGTTTAAGAGTAAAATTTTTTTATTTATCATCAAAACTGATACTATACAAATGTATTCAGTTGAGTCACCAAACCATAGCTACAAATATATCAAATGATTGGTGTGCATGACCACTTAAGCTTTGTAGGACTCTTAGTATTTCATTTTAAAAGGAATTCTAATCACATTGCTTCAATATTTTATAGTACAAATTAATTCTTACACATTTATAATTTTCTAATGATGTTGTATCACCTTTGAAGTTTTAAATATATTAATTTTGTTTACTGGAAAGGTAGGGAAACAGAAAAATCATATGACAGAAAGAAATGTCCTGCACAATAATTCACTCCCCAAATGGGTACAAGAACCAAGGTTGGGTGAAAAAGAAGCCAACAGCCTGAAACTCCATCCAGGCCTCCCACGTGGGTGACTAGGGCACAAGCACTTGGATCATCTTCTGATGCTTTCACAGGAGTATTCGCAGTACTCAATATAGGACCTTGTGTCACTGGCAGTATCTTAGCCCACTTCACCACAACAACTTGGTTCACTACTTTAAAATTTCTTTATAAGCATATCATGCAAAAACTTTTAAGCACAGGAAAAATCAAAGTAAGTTTTATTACCATTTTTAAAACATTTATTTGTTTTTTAAATAATGGTTACATGGTTGATCAGGGTGGGAAGGATCAAGGTTTAGAGAAAATTGGGTAAATTCACTGCTTCCAAATGTGTTGTTTTTTCTTGTTATTTTTAGAGGAAGCGGCAAGACAAAGCGGGAAACCACAAACAACTTTCCACATGTCCCAGTTTTCAGGGATGAGGACCTGCCATTTCATCTCAACCCAGAGTCTCAGTGTATACATATTCCAAGGGTTCTGTCCAAGTGGTTTGGATAGTTCTGAAATGCTGTCGATTTCACTGATCCCAGGATGATGTCACCCTCCAATGCCATTGGTTCCATTTACCAAGATTTTCTACTGTCATTACTTGTTTGGAATAGTTGTCCAGTTCTGTTCTGCTGCTATAGCACCAAATGTGCTGCCATATTCTCCCTTTACAACAGGGCCTGTGTCCACTGCTCCACCTTTTTCATTAAGTAGGACATGTTCTTGCAGGGCAGTCCAAGGACCCGGGCTAGGTGTCCCAAGCATCACTGGATCCCCACCCCTGGGGCTCACAAACCCAACATTCACCTAGTAGGTGATCCCCAGGGCCCGGGACAGGAGACCCAAGCCCCACCAGATTCCCCACCCTTGGGGCTCATAAACCCAGCACCCACCTTGCAGGTAGGCCCCAGGACCCATCCCAAGTGACCTGAGCCTTGCTGGATCCCCACCCCTGGGGCTCATGAACGCAGCACTTGCCCAGCAGGTGGGACCCAGACAGGAGACCCAAGCCCCTCCAGATCCCCCACCCCTGGGATTCATGAAGCCAATGCCCACCTAGAAGGCAGGCCCCAGGTTATAGGCCAAGCGACCCACACCCCACCGGTTCCCCTATCTCCGGGGCTCAGGAACCCATCCCTTACCACACAAGTAGGCCCATGACCTAAGCCAAACTACCTGAGCCCTATCAGATCCCCTGTCCCTGGGACTCATTTACCCAGCCTCTGCTGGGCCCAGGCTGGCATGACTTGTCTCACCTCAGCATCCACAGTTTTATTGCACAGCCTGGCCTAGTCTAGTCGGCCCCCTGTTTCAATTCCTGTTGGTGGGTGCTACAACCTATTCCAGCCCAACTTAATTGCTGTCCCGGTCCTAATGTGAACTGGCTGTTGCTGCAGCCCAATCTGGCTCCTCCTGCCCCCTGCCCTGGTTCTCAGATCTGCCAGTGGGTGTTATGTGCTGGTCTGTCCCCAGACTGATCTACATGTATGCTGGCAGGTACTATAACCTGGCATGGTCTGGACTGCTCCTTGCCTTGCTTCTTGCACTCACCTGCAGGGACTGCATCCCAACGAAGGAGTTTCCCAAGCTCCTCCATCAAGTCTCCTCCAAGTGGCAGTTCTCATGCACACCAGTGGGTTGTTGGCACAGACTGACTTTGTTTGCCTCCTATCCTGACATGAACAATGGCTTTGCTCAACCAACCACACCCATTCTGGCTCTTGCTATTGGCTGTTGCAGCCCAGTGCTACTTGGTCCAAGCCCAGACACAGTTTTCACATCTATTTATTTATTCATTCATTCATTCATTTGAAAGGCAAAGTGTCAAGGAGGAGGGAACTGTGCACGTGGAACATTGCCTCTGATATGAACAGAAGGTCAAGAAAAATAAATGTATCATGGAGCCAATTATAGTGTCTTTGGTGGGTAGGTGGCCTGTTGGAAGATGCCCTCCTGCCCTCCACTTCCATAATCTTTATTATTTTTTTAAATATGGATCACTTCACAAATGCATGTCATCCTTGCACAGGGGTCATGCTAATCTTCTCTGTATCATTCCAATTTTAGTATATTTGCTGCCGAAGCGAGCACACCATAACCTTTAAAACCTGTAACCTGTGCATAATAAATTGGGCATTCTTCACCAGCTTGTCTCCCCTGGTGCTTGCGGCCAAAGAACACCACTGCCTTATCCTCGGTGATCTTGGGGCCTACTGGCAGGGTTAAACCCTGAGGCTGTCTCCCAGTTATTAGCTTAGCACCTTCACAATTTTTACCTTAAGATTTATTTTTATTTAAAAGGCAAATTTACAGAGAGAGAAGGAGAGATTGGGAGATCTTCCACCTGCTGTTTCACTCCCCAAATGGCCAAACTGACCAGAGCTAGGCAGACCCAAAGCCAGAAGCCTGGATCTTCTTCCAGGTCTCTCACAGGTGTGCAAGGGACCAAAGACTTAGGCTATCTTTTGCTACCCTCTCAAGCATACTAGCAGGCAGCTGGAGAAGAAGTAGAGCAGATGGAACTCAAGTTAGTACCCTTTTGGGACACTGGTACCATAGGCAGAGGCTCAATCTTACTATGTTGTGGCACCAATTCCTCATCGTCTATTTCTATTTAAGCAATTCACCTTAGATTGTTTCTCATTGTTGTACTCCTAATTTGACCCTAAATGTGAAACTACCTTTTAGTTTAACAGGAATAACTCTCAAATTTTAACCTAAGATTAATTTCTCATCCAAAATTCAATCCTAAATTTCCAAAGGACTTCAGGACATTTCTACTAAAATTCATCCTTTCTCACCACAAACCAGGCATAACCAGAATCTATGTATTTATTGAAGATTTACTTTTAAAGATTTTTAAATTTTTACTTGAAAGGCAGACTTCACAGTGAGAAGGAGGGGAATGGGGAGTATCTTCTATCCACTGATTCACTCCCCAAATGGTTGCAGTGACCAGAACTGGGCTAGCCCAAAGCTGGAGCTTTTTTGGATCTCCCATGCTGGTGCAGGATCCCAAGTTCTTGGGTCATCCTCTGCTGCTTTTCCAAGTGCATTGTCAGAGTGCTGGACCAGAAGTGGAATAGTCCTGATTCCCATGCAGGGTGCCAGCATTGCAGCCAGCAGCTTTTCCTGCTATGTCATAGCACCATCCCCTGTCAACTGGATTAATGTAGAATTCTGTTAACTAGACCACTTCCCTTCTCATTTTCTCAACTGAGTAGTTGCAACCGATTGTGTGGCTCTTCACACAAAATTGGCCAAACATTGCTCTGAACTTCTACTAATTTCTGTTCTTTTCTTTGTGTGTGTGTGTGTGTGTGTGTGTGTGTGTGTGTGTGTGTGTGTCCAATGGCTGACCAAGTGTTATCAATTTCAATTCAGGTGCTTGCCATTGCTAAGTTATTTTAATATTCTTTTATCTCCCTGTATCCATCCTAATGTAGTCTGCATACCTCAGCTAAATTGAGCATTACAAAACACCATATTAATTCTATCACTCACCCACCAGTAGTTCCATAGTGACTATTATGGATCTGGTCATTACAAATTCAGCATCCCTCTTCCAACTCACTTCAATCCACTCAACAAAGTCAAAATAACACTCTTTCCAAATCATCTTCCCCAGCTGAATGCACCTTCTATTCCTTCTCTTACTTCATTTCAGAATCTCCACATGCAGGAATTCTGCCTTATTGCTGCTAGCTCTGGTACCAGGCACAGTGTCTGGAGAATGGTAAACATAGGATACCATGCATTTTGCCTTCACTTCAGTCTCTATACTCCTACCCAGGATCTGCTCCCTATGCTTTCCTGTCTGCCCAAATCTATTTGCTCTAAATTTAGTTCCTCCCAAACTATCCTAAGCTCTTCCTTTGTATCATCCACTATGTACTACCTTCATGTCTGAGTAGGAAAGGAATTAGCCACAGTAATTCTTGAAACAGTAAGAACAGGCCATCTATTTAAATATGCACAATTTATAAAATTCTCTAACAGCTCACGGTTATACTTCAGGGTGCTTTTATTGTCTTTGATTTTGGATTTGTCTACAGTTCTATGGTTTAGTAACAATTGGGACTTAGAATGATAATTCCAAATCCTAAATCTGTAGGCTCCGACTCTCAAGACTCCAAATTCATAAAGCTAAGAAACCTCAGTGAGTTTTAAAAGACTTTATTCTAAAATTTTTTAGCAATTTAAAGGTTATATTATTCTAGTAAGCAAAAAAAGGTTATGATAAAGATAAGCACTCATTCATAGGTTATTATTCAGAGCAGAATAAACTAATTTATACAGAATCCAAAAATTATAATCTGTCTTTTCAATGCTTATGAACAAAATTCCGCATAAAATATAGACATCCCTGGAACCAACTCTTTTAGGGGCCACTGTTGTGGTGCAACACATTAAAACCATGTCTGAGGACTGGCGCCATTGCCTAGCAACTAAACTCCTCTCCTTGAACACACCGGGATCCCATATGGGCGCCATTTCTAATGCTGGTAGCCCCTGCTTCCCATCCAGCTCCCTGTGTGTGGCCTGGGAAAGCAGTCGAGGACAGCCCAAAGCCTTAGGACCCTGCACCCGCGTGGGAGACCCAGAAGAGGATCTGGGCCCTTGGCTTCGGACCGGCACAGCATCAGCTATTGCAATCACTTGGGGAGTAAATCATCGAACGGAAAATATTTCTCTCTGTCTCTCCTCCTCTCTTTATATATCTGACTTTACAATCAAAATAAATAAATCTTTAAGAAAAATAAAATAGTGTCTGTAATTTTATCACTACATATGGGTGCTTGCTTGAGTCCCAGCTACTCCACTCTCTCATCCTTGCTAATGCATCTAGGAAAGAAGTGGAAGATGCCCCAAGGGCTTGGTCCCCTGCTACGCCTGGAGGAGGCACAGACAGAGCTTCAAGCTCCGAACTTCAGCCTGGCCCAGCCTCAGTCATTTGTGAGTAGGGTGAGGATAGAAGAGAAGATCTCTCTCTCTCCATCCCCCTTTCTATGCCTTTCCCTCTCCTTCTCTGTATAACTCTGTCTCTCCAGTAAATAAATATTTAAAGAGAGAAAGGGAAAAAATGAGTTTTTTTTAGCCTCTGTAGCCAGAGGCTCTTCCTCCACCCTGTGGTGCAGCAACTATATGGGTGCCGGTTCATGTACCAGCTGCTCCACTTCTGATCCAGCTCCCTGCTTACGGCCTGAAAAGGCAGCAGAGAATGGCCCAAGTCCTATACCCATGTGGGAAACTTGGGAGAAGATCCTGACTTCGGGATCAGCTCAGCTCTGGCCGTTAACAGCCATTTGGAGAGTAGACCAGAAGAAGGAAGACCTTGTCTTTTCCTCTCTATAAATCCGCCTTTAAAAGAAAAATAAATAAATTTTAATTAAAAAGAAAAAGTTGTACAGTGGAGCAATTTCCTACCAGCTTCAAAAGGCTGATTGCTAAACATTAAGAAATTTTGGGGCTCGGCACAGGGGCCTAGTGGCTAAAGTTCTCACATTGAAAGCGCCAGGATTCCATATGGGCGCCAGTTCTAATCCCAGCAGCTCCACTTCCCATCCAGCTCCCTGCTTGTGGCCTGGGAAAGCAGTCGAGGACGGCCCAAAGCCTTGGGACCCTGCACCTATGTGGGAAACTTGGAGGAGGTGCCTGGCTCCTGGCTTCGGATCAGCGCAGCACCAGCCATCGTGCTCACTTGAGGAGTGAATCATCGAACGGAGCATCTTTTTCTCTGTCTCTCCTCCTCTCTGTATATCTGAGTTTGTAATAAAAATAAATCTTTAAAAAGAAAGAAATTCTGCAAATCATGTCTTAACTGAGTAATAGTTTGATATTACTCATCATATGGCTGTTTTCAAGCTTTCTAATGCATACACAGAGAGAACACAGAATTGCTATAGTGATTGACAAAAATAAACGTTCATGTGGAAATTACTGTGTTCCAGGCAAAGTTCGAAGCAGCTAACAGATACGCAGTGATGTGCTAAAGTAAGCTAGTGCTGGCTAACAAAAGCTAGTAGTACACATCTTCTCACCTCCATATTCACTTACATCACATTAGTAGCTTAAAACAATCCTGGAGGGAGTTGTTGTTGTTTTTTAAGATTTATTTATTTATTTGAAAGTCAGAGATACAGAGAGAAGGCAAGACAGAGAGGAAGATCTTCCATCCAATGGTTCACTCCCCAAGTGGCTGCATCGGCCAGAGCTATGGCAATCTGAAGCCAGGAGCCAGGAATTTTCTCCAGGTCTACCACAAGAGTGCAGGGTCCCAAGGCATTGGGCTATCCTCGACTGCTTTCCCAGGCCACAAGCAGGGAGCTGGATGGGAAGTGGAGCTGCTGGGATTAGAACTGGTGCCCATATGGGATCCTGGTACATGCAAAGTGAGGACTTTATCCACTAGGCAACTGCACCAGGTCTCCCCTCCTCATTTCTGCCATGGGGGAGAATTTCTGCCAAATGAGGAGCTAATGAGTGAGGACGTTTTATGCAAAGATCCTATTATTAAACAATCACCAGCTGATCCTAAATTAGATTTTGAAAGTCAATACACTAACTGTTGGATTCCTAGCACATTGCTCTGCATAGTTTAGTCAGGAAGGAACCCACTTGAGTAAAGAAAGGGCAAGTAGAAATGTGAGATTACACCAACTAAGGAAAGGTGTGACTGCGGTAAGATAGACCCACCTGGGAAACAATCACTCATCTTCCCTTCCCTCAGGAGCTGTGGAAGACAGCAGTGTTGCCTTGTTTGCCAGATTGTCTTTATCGCTCTGGCGTCTTAGTCCTTCCTGTGCTGTTTCAACAGAGCACCTGAGTCTGGGTGATTTACAATGAACAAGGATGCACCACTCCCAGTTCTGACGCCTGTAAGTCAAAGACGGTAGGGCTGACATCTGGCAAGAGCCTTCTTGCCACATCATCCCATAGTGAGAGGCAAAAGGGAGAGAGAGGGAAGGTGAGAGAAAAGAACAGAGGACACATTTGTCTTCAAAAGAACTCAATGCTATGGAAACTACACTAGACCATTCAGAGAAGTCAAAAGTCAACCCTCAAGGTCTAATTACTTCTTGGGGCCTGGT